GGATTAGATGGAGTACAATATTGTATAATTTTTAACCTCCTCTTCTCCACATTTATGAGTTCTAAATGAAATGGAATCTATTTTAGCTGACAGGAAGAAAAGGCAAAAAATTTAAACAAAATATTACAAAGTCTTGCTATTGAGATAGGAATGAAATTCATAGAATAATGTATTAAAGACTCAGAATCTAGATATTTTGGGAGTAGATGACTCAGCAAAAACACAAATTACTTTTAGACCCAATCTATTATTTATTATTTCAATTTATAAAACATGCACCCAATGCATCTTCAAGATGAAGAGTTCAAAGTCATTGTGATTGTTTAGTTGGCTTATCTCTGGGATTTAGAAATCTGCATATTTCATGTTGACCTGAAGTTGTCTTCTATAAGAGATTTTTATGCCATAAAAACAAAAAGTAAATTTCAAAGAATAAAATTCACAGAGTCATCACAAATATATTAAGTACTTTTAAGTCACATATCAAATAATATCCTGTCAATAAGAGGTTTGAATTGTGAGGAACAGTTACTCAGATTTGGAGTGGAGCATGATTTTTATCACTGTACCTAATCATTCCTATTGTCTTCAAGCCAGAATATGAATTCTTCCTCATAAATAAAAGTCTGAATCCCATTATTTGTAAATTGAAGGAATTCATTTCTTTAGTTGGATTACCTGTGCTTACAGTGCATCACCGCTTCTAACACCTTCTTTCTTCCCCACTCCAACTCTTCCCTCCAACCTCCCAATTTCCAGAAGTGTTTTGGTCTGCTAAATAGACCTAGCTTTTTAATTTAAAAAAAGGAGGAAATCGTTATACAGAGCTCAAGTTCCCCATATCATTTCAGTTTTTGATTAGTAACAATTCTTAGAAAGTTCTAATTTTATTTTGAGACTTTTCTTTCTAAAAGAACTTATAATGATGAAAAACAATGCTTCCTATATTAAAAGTTAACTTTGCTCCACTGGTGTGGTTCAGTGGTTGAGTGACGACTTATGAACCAGGAGATCATGGTTCCATTCCCAGTCAGGGCACATGTTCAGGTTGTTGGCTTCCTCCTCAATGTGGGGTATGCCAATCAATGATTCTCTCTCGTCGTTAATGTTTCTCTCTCTCTCTCTCTCTCTCTCTCTTTCTCTCTCTCTCTCTCTCTCTCTCCCTCCCTCCCTCTCTGAAATCAATAAAAATATATTTTTTAAAAAGTAACTTTAAGGATTACATTTGAGACAATATTGCTTTGAAATAAATTCCTTGTTTTTTTCTTAAAATATACTGTATGTAAACAGATAAACAATAAACTGCCTTTTAAAAGCTGTATTGTAGATACCTACATACATAAATGTTCAAATCTTGAGTCATAGTTTTGCTTTATAGTTGATTTGCTATTGTTCTTTCTTGTGTACCATTACAGATCTGATGGGGTGCAATTATTTCCAAATACAGTAAATGTAATTCAAGTTTAGCTTTAACATAAATACAATTTATTAATTATACTATCATTATTAAAGGTTAAATAGTTCAGGACATTCATAAATCAGCAGCTAGTTTGCCAACTTCTTATATTAAATTAAATGGCACTTAATTATTAAGACAACTAAGCAATAAGTGAGATACTAATTAAAGCCCAAGCAAACAGCTACTCTCCATTCTTAATTTATAATTCAGTGTCTATCTAAAAAGTCAAACAAAGGTCATTATATCTCTTCATACCTGAATATCTTGGTAAGAAATCTGGATGTTGAATTCAACATCATTAGATCTAAATCTGAATATAAAAAAATAACATATAAGACAACCGAACAAACTAACTAAACAAACCCGAAACTCCATAGAGTGAGATTTCAAAAATGACAAGCATGTAAGACAAGCTACTTAGAAAAGTACATTTCATATTTTTTTCATAAAAGTGAAAGGAATACAGAATTTTCAAATAGCAGGTAAATAGACATTTGTGTTATATCACCCATTTGACATTTCTATAGGCAAAACTAGGATGCATGAAGTTATATGATACAGAAATAGATTCTTAAAAATCAAGTTCAAGTTTTATCTTTCTCATCATATGAATGTGAATAAAAGTAATTCAAAAGCCAATCCTGAATAAACTGCTTATTATAGAGCACTTAATGAAATTGTCATTTCAAACAGCATTTAGGATGTAAACTACAGAATGAAGAATCAGAGGTCCCACTATTACAGGGATAATAAAGTGTTTTTTTGAAGCTACTTTAATTCTTTTAACCTCTAGTTGATAAAGATGATTGGACCACCATCTAGGAAGAATCTGGTGGTTCTTATGAGGCTATCTATCTAAACATTTTTGGCGCCAAATTCATATTAAATCAAACACTTCTGCTGTTCTCTCTGAACTACCTTCAGGAAATTATAAAATAACACCACATATATAATAAAAGCCTAATATTCAAATTGTCCCCTCCGACAGTCCTTCGACTTGGAGTTTGACTGCTTGCTATGATGTGCACTGACTACCAGGGGGTAGCACAGAACATGGCGGGCATTGGGTGGCAGTGGAGGCACTGCTGGCCTTGATGGGCTCCTACTAGAGAGCAGGACCGCAGCAGGATGGTGGAGCAGCTGAGTGGGCAGCACTAGGACAAGACAGGTGCAAGCGGGGCCCAATCGCCCTACTGATCACCCTGCAGAAGGTGACTAGTGGCAGGGGGAGGGGGGCCAAGGCAGGGTTTCAGGGAGGGCTGTGGGGCTGCAAGGGGTGTGTGAGTTGTGGCCTGATCCCTGCAGGCCACCCTAAGGGACACCATCCATGCAAGAATTCATGCACCGAGCCTCTAGTGTTGAAATAAATGCCCAGCTGCCCAAAGTCTAAGAAAATGGGATTTAAATGACTGTATAAATTTCCTCTAAGATTTCAATTCTGTATTGTGTTTGTAGAGTAGGAGTAAATAATATCAGAGTATATAAATTTATATGTATATATATTTAAGTTTTCAGAATATATAAAATCAGTTTGAAGAATTAAACAATTCACTTTAATAGGAGTGAAGAATTCACTTAGTCCAGATCACCTGGTTAATTAGATAATCCTAGGGTAGTAGGATTATTTACATTTATTGAATGAACTAGAGGTCCAGTGCATGAAATTTGTGCATGGGGGTGGGTGTCCTTCAGCCCAGCCTGCACCCTCTCCAATCTGGGACCTCTAGAGAGATGTCCTACTGGTAGGACCGGGCTTAAATGGACAGTCGGACATTACTCTCACAATCCAGGATTGCTGGTTCCCAACAGCTCGCCTGCTTGCTTTCCTGATTGCCCCTAACTGCTTCTGCCTGCCAGCCTGATCATCCCCTAACCACTCCCCTACAGCCTGATTGATGTTTAACTGCTGGCCTAATTGCCCCTAACTGCCTCCTCTGCAGGCCTGGGTCCCTCCCCTCCCCCCGCCCAACTTCTCTCCTCTGCAGGCCTGGGTACCCCCCAACTGCCCTTCACTGCAGGCCCAGTCACCCCCACCTTCACTCTTCTGTCAGCCTAGTCACCCTAACTGTCCTCCCCTGCAGGCTTGATCGCCCCCAACTGCCCTCCCTTGCAGCCTGGTCCCTCCCAACTGCCCTCCCCTGCTGGCCATCTTGTGGCAGCCATCTTGTGTCCACATGGGGGCAGCTATTTTTAACCACATAGGGGTAGCCATCTTTTGTGTTAGAGTGATGATAAATTTGCATATTAGATGGGATTAGCTAGTCAAACACCTTTTTGCTGAAACCAAGCACTACACTGAGCCTGATTGTATCCTTGTCATTATCCCCTGTACTCATTCTCTTAGCAATGTGATCTTGCAGATTTGTTCATCAAGGAGTAGAGTCCATGTCCCACCCCTTTTAATTATCACTCACCTTGTCACTTGACCAGTGTAATGGGACAGAAATGATGGTGTCCTAGTCCTGAGCCTAGCCCTTAAGAAACTTTGCAGGCTTTTATTCCTTTCCTCTATCAGGTAAATAAGGGTTGAGAGACCAGAAGCATAGAACTAAGTTGGCCCATTTACCCCAATAGTGATCCCAGATGTGAGAGAGCCCTGCTAAGGTTAAGACCTGGCCTGAAGCTTCATATATAACTTGAAGCTGATCTAGAGCTGACCACAAACTCATGAAGGACCCCAACTGAGATAAAAACAATTGCCTAGCTGAGCTCAGAACAAATTACAATGAGCTAAATAAATATCTGGTGGATTCACCTATACTGTCATTTGATAATACCCCATTGTTCTCAATTAGTAGGATAGCAACTAAGAATTGAGCCAATAAATTCAGGATTTAAAGGCAAACACATTAAGCCACTTCTCTATATGAATTATCATCTTTAAGCTGTTGACATATTGCATTTTGCAAAGCTGTACAGGAATCAGGTAGTCACTGCCTTTCAGCAACTTTAAAAAACATATTTACCATAAAAAACACATTTACATTTCTTAATTGTGTGGAACTATATAAAAAGTGTGTTTGAGTTTAATTAGTTTTAACTTTAAATTTAAAAACCCAAAAGAGATAAGCCTAACAAGACCCACATACTTACCAAAAAGCAAACAATAAAGCTGCTTTGTGTATAATTAGATATGTATCTATACATGATATGAGGCAGGGTCATTAATTCTTCTTTGTATCTGGGCATTTTACAATCAGCCAAGAACCATTCTATCAAAATAGAGACATGAAGTGCTTATTTCCCATGCCAAACCCTTTACATAATTATAATTTTATTTATGCCATTATATATCAATGCCCAAATTCATTATGATGCACAGAACAGGCAAATGATAAAATTTTAAAGTTAGAAGGAACTTCAGAGGTTCCTGAATGGGGTGGTGAAGAGAACAATAGCATATGAAGAACCCTCGTCTATTCCTAGCTGTGCTACATGGACCTTCTTTAGCCAATGGTTTTTAGTAAAATGATGCTTTGGGAATATATATTTTCTTTGTGTGAGAGGGCAATTAAAATATATTCCTCTCTGCATTCTAAAGGGTGGTTAAGAAGAAATGAATTGCAAAGGATGACAGAGAAAGTCTTTGAGAGGCCACTTAACGAGAGAGAGGGGGCGATGTCACTAGACAAAGGAAGTCTACTGGAGGAATCGGGTAAGTTTCTTTGGTATGGCTTGGGTTTCCTCATAAAACTTGGCAATACTTTTGGTCCTATAGGGGAAGGGGAGGGGACAGATTGAGGAGTACACCTACATGCACCTAGGGCCTCTGACATGGGCTAAAAGTAAGAAAAGAAGCCCCCCACAAGCCAAGTCATATTGCGTTACATAAGATTCTTTGCAGGTCTAAAATTCTCTGGCTGTGAAAGTTGCTACTGCTTCATAGCATTTATACTAAATAATACTTCTCTTAATTCAAAATTCTCTAATTCAGAATTTTTGATGAGCATTTGAGACCTGGCTAATGTATATCTCTGTGCTATATATAAAGAAAGGATTTGTCAAAGAAATAGATGGCATTAACCAGGTTGTTAAAATAACACTCCAAATGCTTGAAAGAGCTGTTTTCAAACACCTTAAATACTTTAGGAACATGATTTAATAGTTGTCCCCCATAAAATATATTGAAATTATGACTGATGCTCTAAAAGAATGTTTTTATCTCTAATTCCACAGGAAGACATTGGAAAGACATTGCCTTTTTAATGTGTAAATTATAACAAGTTTTAGGGAAATTGGCTAATAATATGGCAGACTGATAAGATTAATTAGTAAATTAACCCAAGCTGTTAAATGTACATGGGTAAGTTCTCTGAGATGATAGTTTTAATTAATTTCTCAAGGATGCTGGTTAAAGTGACAAGATGACTGTTTGACTGTTTATGTAAATAAAAAAAAATAAAAAAGGAGTCAGTTAACTTCCATGATCGGAAAGAACTTTATACAGACCCCACAACTGCTAAAGATGTCTCAGTTGAAACATAAGGCTGGTTAGTTTCATTAGCTCTCCTCCTGCCCACCTCCCAACTTCCTATGTTCCCAATGTCATCCATCAGTAATTGCAGCTCCTTTTGTTAACTACCTTGGTCCAGCTAATTTTTCCTCTTCTATGGCCTCTGTCCTCTGCTAGTTCTTTATCGTTCTAATGTTCTACATTCTCATTTCCTCTATAAAGCACTGAATGCATCAATGTTTGATGTAATGTAGTTGATTGGGAAAAGAATGAGATTTGATTTGTCTAAGCTGGTTTCAAATTCTGACCACTCTGTTTACCAACTGTGCAGCCTGGAGAAAGTTACTTAACCACAGTTCCTGGATCCTCATTTGTCACCAGAAGGTAATAATATCCACCTTGCATGGCTGCTGTGAGGAGCTCAAGATGATGCAGTTAAAGCTCCCAGAACATAGCACAAAATTAGCATCTAAACTCATTTTCTCTGCCCGTTTCCTTCTACCAAATCCCAGATTTATTTCTAGTAACACTGCTTCTCCAGCAACACTCAAGGTGCTTCTGTGTTTTGGTTTTTTGAAGAGAACTCGGGATTATTTTGGCTCCCACAACTTCTCCCTGACAATTTTATATCATTTTCATTAGGCTCTCTTCTTTTGAAGGACACACTGCCTACTTGTATATCTTCCTTCCCAACAGGAACATTTACTAATAAACAAATGATTCTCACAATACTTCTGGGTGGTTGGGAGGTCCAACATCATCTGGATGATAGGGGTTTATGTTACTGTTCCCTCCAGGTCATTTTTTTATTACTCTGCAAGGATTTTGGAACTTGGCTCCAGTCTCTCTTTACTCCAGCATCAACTGTCATCTTAAGTGACTTCCTGATACAGCGAATAGTACTAATGAGCCCTCTAATAGCCTGCCCTAAACTTAAATTTACCTCCATTCCACTTTACCAATCCCATTTACAGAAGCACATTGGGGACTTTTGAATCACTTGAAACTGCTCCCCCAAGAATCTGAGTTTTGAAGTGACTCTCTCTGACCACAACCTTGGATTCTTTTTTCTTTAACTCTTTCCTTGCCACAAAACCTGTTCTGCTGCCTCATCACACACTCTTGCTTCTCAAATCCTTCCTACTCTTTCAGTGATGTTTTCTCACCTCATTTCCCTCATAACCAGCCTGAATTTCAAGTATGTGCTCACTCGTTCATTCATTCCACATTTATTGAATGTCTGTATGTGTTGGGCACTGGGTAGAAATTATGACCTTATCTATGAAGCAGCACAGGGTGAATTGGTCAGTCCTGTTCATAACATACTCATCAACACCCCTGGAATGCTCATCTCATTTTCTTTTCTTTATTTCACCAGGAAAAAATATCTGTTTTATTTATTGTTTCTCCCTGATTTTAGATCTCTGGTTCTAATCATTACTAGACCATGTCCTATCTCACTATGACTCCCTGCCTGAGCTGGGTCTTCAGGGCAAATCTAATTTCTCACACTCCCCAGACATCCCTCCAACTCTGCAGCCGCCATTGGAAAACTCCACTCTCTCCCCAGGCTTTTCCCTGCTTCCCTACTGGATGACCCAGACTTACTTCACTAAGAAAATAGAGGCTACCAGTTATAAACTAACTCAATATTCCTCAGCATTCATCTGCACTTTATTCATATTTTTCTATATTTTAAAAAGGTATGATAAAGCAAGATAAGACATAATTTGTGTAGCTATTCCTCCATTCTTACTTCGGTCTCATCTCCTGTGACTTCCACTTTGAATCTTTAAATTTTACTTTCTTTTGCCCAGATGGGATGGCTTAGTAGTTAAGCAAAGATCTATAAACCAGGAAGTCATGGTTCAGTTCCTAGTCAGGGCACATCTTCAGTAGGGGACTTGCAGGAGTCATCTGATCAATGATTCTCTCTGATCATTGATGTTTCCTTAAAAAAATTTTTTTTCATTGATTTGAGAGAGAGGAAGGGAAAGGGAGAAAGATAGAAACATTAGTGTTGAGAGAGAATCATCGATTGGCTGCCTCCTGCATATCCCACACTGGGGATTGAACCCATAGCCCAGGCATGTGCCCTGACTGGGAATCAAACCGGTAATCACCTGGTTCATAGGCCAACATTCAACCTTTGAGCCATGCTAGCTAGGCTGATCATTGATGTTTCTATCTCTCTCTCAATTTCCTTTCTACTCAGAAATCAATTTTAAAAATATGTTTTTTTAAAATTACACTCTCTTTTAGTTTTTCATTTCTCCTTCTCCAGTAGACTCTTACCTTCAGCCTAGCAATATCCTATATAGGCTTTCTATTAATTGTGTCTCCTCCTTTAGCTTCCAACACAGAATCCCATTAATGTCCAGCAATGCTGAGAAAACATCTTCACTCATAACCTCTCCTTCACTGAAATGTGGCATCTGCCTCCAAAACCAACAAAATTGCTTGAACAGCTAACTGCCAGCCCTCCATGGCCCTTCAGGCCTCTTGTTACTGTAAACGACGAACCACCACTTGTGTTTATTCTGACCCAGACTTCCATCTGGCCAGGACCCGATAGGAAGCAGCTCTAGCAAAAATTTTGGACCTTTTTTTTTTTTTGCCTTTTCCCAGTTTTGATCCTCCACCTCCCTGGTTCTGCATTTACTTGATATTTGACCTTTTGCTGAATCTCTGATTTCCAGCCAGAACTTTTCACTTGAATCTGATGACAGATTTGCATTCTCTGGCAAATCTTCGGAACATGCCCACAGTATCTGACATAGCTCCGGGCTCTATAATCCTACTCTATGGCTGGTTAGCATATCTTGTTTCCCTGCTGGTCTGGTCTGAACTCTTCTGCGTGGGTGGGAGTCTCCTCCCTGATTTGCGTGATATTCTCCTCCCCGGATGCTTTTTATACTCCTCTCACTGCTCTTTCATGCAGCCAGGGTTATTCTCTCCCTTCTCTCTTCACTGTATATACACTTGGCAGATTTCATCCACTCCAATGGCTTAGCCATTATCTCTATGTTGCCAACTCCCAAATTTATAATTCCAATTTCGAATTTTTTTCCTGAGTTCTATATATGTAAATGCAGACTGCACACTAGATGGCTTCTTTAATTTGGATTTTGAATTCAACATATTTAAACGCAAATTCATCATCCTTTTTTTCCCCCCCTTGCTTGTATCTTCTCTTATGATCCCTACTTCGGGTAATGTTATTTTAATTTCCGATATCTAATATCTAACAGGTACTTGAACTCTATGCCTCTGAAATGCCTGCTTGTGAAATGCCTCATCTACTAGGAAATGGTCTCGTCCTGTGTTTGTATAAATTTCTTCTAATGGAGCCTAGATCAGCCCTTGCATTGTTTCTTACCTAGACTTCTGCAATAGTCTGGCAACTGGTCTCCCCTTCCCAGTCATTTTCCACCTCATTTTCTACCATAATCTATGCCTCCTACATGTAGATTATGAGGTGGGCTTATGAGAAGAATACAAATGACCAACAGTGGTTAAGAAAGAGGAGCTTGTAATATTCATATGACTATAGCCAACAACACATTTCTTAATGTTAAATTCAAACACTATTAGATATTTTCATGACATGCTAAGCAGTAGGCAAATTTTATAATTATCTCAGATAAAAAGGACTGGAAAGAAGGTGGCTCCTTGCTCCTCTTCCAAATATTGGCTTGAGAATGGAAACACTCTTGATAACTGTTTGTATTTGTTTCAATACATACATAGAATAAAATGTCAAAATCCTTTGTGAAGTGAGGCAGGGTATATACAGACACATAAACAACTAATTTTGGAAACAGAGAGATAGAATTGAAAGAATATTTATAAGGGTACACAATGGGAGATAAATTCCATAGGGGGACTATTTCACATTAATTGAAATACCCTTCCTAGGGTAAGTAATGTGATAATTAGTCATGTATGCTTATCGTGTAACCACTATGTATTTTAACTATCATTGAAAATTCAGTCTTAACACTAAGCCCTACCATGATATGAAAATCAGCATCATTTTTACGATTCATAGACAGTAAATTCCATGTCCTCTCATTTATTCTTTGATTTAGTCATCTTAAGTTCAAGATTTACTGTGCTTTCTGAGCCTCTACTGTATGACTTGGGGGGTCATAGTTTTATAGTGCCTGGGAAAGAGAAGCAGGTTTTAGAGGTATAGAACG